CACCACACTATTTAATGAGGATTGTGTGTAAAAAAAAAGTTGAAAAATTCGGCTATTCAAAACCGGAGAAAACTTTTTTTGTCTTGCAAAGAACTTCGAACAACTTTATGACTATTGGTGGTCACTAGCTTGTGCCTAAACGATGCAGCTTTCAATTAAGATCCTGGTAAAGGTTATAAGTTACAACTTAGAATATCAGGAAGAATTTTCGGGACAGCTTATGAGAGAGAGGGAATTTTTACGTAGTGATTAGAAACCTATAATGACAACTACAAAATCCTGAACAAAAGTACTCTTTGAAATCACAGCCACTGAAAAGTTCTACTCCAACTGCAGCTCATTTTGTTCATAACAGATGCTATCTGATAAAATTCGGCTCAAACCGAGATAATCGAAACTTCTCGAACATCTTGGTCTAACATTTCCTCATAATTTCCACCAATTTATGCCTACTCAAAAAGTGCCTTGTCTCTCTAATTATCAACCACTGTATTTGCATAATCCATCATGACCCTCATAAACTCCCAAAGCCACATAATCTCGTCCGATTGTGTGTGTAACCAGCTGAAGGTTGCCCATGCCACCTGGCCACCTCCGCTCTTTCTCTATGGAATCCGCGTTTGCTCTCAAATATGCCTCGAATAATTTTTCCTCTACTTGTCCGAAAGATGGTGAATGATTGCCTCGGGAAAAATGTCTCGTTGCTAGGCAACGGCTGCTATTGCGAAAGTTCAAATTACTTGCAAATGCATTCCACCGACGGTGGTCGCTCTATCAGCTTTCTTTGCAGGCTATACGGCAGTTGTAGGGGTAGTACAATTCTAGGCTCTAGTTATTTGCCAGCGATCACTTTACCTCACACTTTTTTCTCAAAACTTTCGGGATTAGGATTTTCCTGTTAGGGTGCATATCTTCCCATAAAACAGTTCCTTCTGTTTTCACTAGACTTTACAAAAAGTGACGAGAATGACGTTTTGTATCCTGTTTACAGGGTACCCATCCGCACTTCCAAACAATAAAGGCTGGCTTCAGCTTAGAATCATGATGGAGAACGGATTACTTATCTGTATTCGTTGCTGTACGATCACAAAAACTTTTGACAGAATTTTGCGCCAAAGAGAACATGTTTGGTCCCAAAGATTTCTACGAAAGAAATGCACATTTTGTTACTAGATTAATTAGCATTGCTATCCATATATGAGCTTCTCCCTTCGCTCAATTTTTAGCTTTACAGTTACGTCGTCTATATATACAGTAACAGCGGTTTTCCTAATATCTAACAGACTTGATTATACAGTTCAAACTGCTCTACATAGTGGTAAAAACCTGTTTGCTTCAGCAGTCTCAGGGATCCCTTGATAAGAAATTCAAACGCTTTAGAATTTTTTTTTAATTTGTAAGCTGACTTACAATGACGACATTATGCCAAATTCCTATCGTAATCCTACAGTAATATAGCAGCGATCGGTGATTTTATTTTATTTTAATAAGCTAAAGCCAGCTCTACAATGTGCTTTCTAGACCCGAAAAGTGCACAGTAGAGAATTATCAGCGATTAAACCTGCGATATATTCATGGGCACCATGTATATCTAGTTGGAGTAATTCTTGTAAATGGGAGAGATGGAGGGTGGAAGGAAAGGGGAGAAGTGGCAGAAGGGGGTAGGGAAGGGGGGAGGGGGGGGGGGGGAGAGGAGAAGAGAGAGAAAAAAGAACTTTATTCAATGATTGGGCAAATAACAAGGGTCTCGTTTCTTTCCTTCTTCAAATGAGCCAATATGACCAGCGTGGCCTAAGGGCATAATAGTTTTGGAACTGGTCAATTTTGAATAATTTTTTAGTCAACTTGAATTAAGTTGTGATTAGGTCACAAAAAATGGCATTCCTGCAGCTCCACCCAATTCCTATGCTATCAAGCTAAACTGTGACCACGGAATTCTGCAAAAGGATTCCTTGCAAGCTGCAACCTAGCGATTTCATCACAGTGACTGCGAAGAATGTACAAATTCCCAGCTACGTAACGCCATGAGCAAACTTATCTGCTGCAGGTTGACAATTGCGAAACCGCACCTTGTCGTAGTTCTGATTATTACCCACAGTTATGCATAAGCGAGCGGCTGCTCTACTGAAGTAACTTGCGCGTCACACACTTTTGACGTCAAAGACAAATTTGTGTAAAACGCAGCTTTTTACCCAAGGTTAGATATTTCAAAACTTGCGGGGCTATAAAAGGGGCTTCAATAACTTGCGTACGTCTGGTAACTTTATACTCAGATGTTTTTAATCCATTAATTTCCAAGTTCTGGGCACACAATTTGAAAGATAGTCGAGTGTTTAAGCAAATAAGCTACCTAATCTGTATCGTCATTCATTCCGCTTGTCCTCGGCTAGACTTTCTTTTGGTTCTTTGAAGGCGAGAACTGGTCCTCAGTTTGATTACGCGCAAGAATTTGGACAGTGCTATGCTTATTGTTTTCTTAAGTAGAATAAAATAGAACCTCAAGGAATGCACGAAAACACTCATCTGTAAGCGAGAACTGGTCCTACAATGACAGCGTCAAATTTTGAAAAATTTCAACATGGAATGTTTATCTCACAATCAGAATCCTTTATTTGAATGCATTTTTAGAGGGGTAGCAGAAATGCTTGTCGACGATTTGGGTTGACCATACCGTTTGATCTAACTAGTCGTTGGAGGGATGTACCCAACACCGAGAATGGGTTGCGGAAACTTGCAAATGTTTCTAACTAAATCTAGAAATTACACAGTAATTTGACTCCATCTGCCGACATCCTCAAGGCACATTCCTCTTTTATTTCAGGGCTATAAGTTCGCAAAAAGATCAACAAGACTTTTAGCAAATTTTTGACGGAACGATATGGCTGAACACCCTTTCCATTTCAGAGGCTTCTGTCCCCGCGCCTCTTCCTCTTTCCGAGGAATGTGTGCGACCGTCAATGATTATGTTGTAATCAACGTTTTCAGCTGTACCATGATCGTTCTTGTTTCCTGTGTCTGGAAAATTTGTAACTGTTTTTGTAGAATCTTTACATTTCTTCTCTTCGTTGGTCGAAACCTATTATAGCGTCGATCATGAGTAACGAATGTCAGTAATTATGTGGCCGCAAGGTAATCGTTGTGTCACTTGGTCTCATGGCACCACTTCCTATGCTTACATTTCTACTTTGTATAATCTACTTCTTGCTTGCTCTCTTGCTTCTTTCTTCATCAAAAACCACTTCTTATAAAGAGGGTAGCCTGTCATTCTTTCCCGCTAATTTAGAAATAATGGTTTACCTTCAAAAACTTAGGTTTGGTTTGACCTCCAAGCACCTTTATATGGAACCAACTCTTTCCTCCTATACATAAAAAACTGCGATCCAGAGGCGGTTGCACAAAGTACGTGGGGCTCCATAGAAATTTTAAGTGGAAGGGCTTAGCCCCTAACCATGCCCTCTGAAAAAATTTTGCGCAGCATTTCGACTTTGAAATTAGAACCCCGAAGTGTCAGAGATGGTCGTGGACAGTATTTACCCTCCCATCGAGCAGTTTTCTACAAAAATCAACCGATTAAGGAATCAGTTTTGTTACTAAAAAGTAAATAGATCACTCGCGTTTTACGTGGAAATCTTTACATGTAAGCCCCATCTAAGCCCCATCATTTCATTTCGCCCTTCTATTTGCACCGCTGGTGCATTCATTACTCGTTTGTGATGGGAGCACATCCCCCCCCCCCCATCTCATAAAGCATCAGCATGTTCTGCATCATTTCATTGAGCATGTTTATGTCTTTGCATCACGTGGTTGCACTTTACTTTTGCATCCGCAAAGTACATGTTGCACAACTTCTAGAACTTACTCGAAGCAAGGTCATTTCATTTGCAAAACATACGAGTACTTCTGCAAAACTCTATGAGGTGACCTTGCTTTTGGTAAAATTGCTTTGAACTTTTCTTGCATTGCTTCATAGCAACTTTGCATGATTTTTGGCTATATAATTAGAATTCAGCAACCTAAGACATAGCAGAAAAGACTGGATTGGCGCATAAACGAGTTATGATAGTCAGCTTTTCTTGAATTCTTCTAAAAGTAAACGCAGATCGACTTTTTCATAATATCTGGTATCTCTCTTTTTACAACAATATTCGTGGTGAGCTTCTAGTCCAAATGAGATTTCAAAAATTTTCCAAAAAAATCGAATCAACCTTGCAGTCAAAAGTGAAAAATACTTTTTTTGCACTTCCCTTTCATTTTCAGTGAGAGCTATAAAAATGTAAAAGAAAATGGGAACTGGTCTTCTCACTTCGAAGTGATTTATTCCAAGCAATATGCTCCTCAGAAATTTTCCTTCCTTTCTGCCCAGTATTTCTAACGTCTGAGCATTTACTCGAGAGAAAACCAGTCTTTGCTTGGATTAGCGACCAGCATTTGCACTTAGAAAAAAGTGAGAACTGGTCCTTTTTCTTCTCTAAGGTGATAAATCGCTTTCACAAGCGGTGCTCATTTCTGTGATGATTCTATCTCATGCTCATCCAGTAACTTGCATTGTCTGATTGTGAGCATTTATTCAAAAAGACCAGTTCTCGCTTGACTTAGCGACCGGCATTTGCGCATAACAAAAGGCAAGAACTAATCATCTTGCTTTTTCGATGTGATAATCATTTTCGAAATCGGTGCGTCCTTTAATATCATCTTATTCATTTCGAGCAAGCTCCACTTTCTAAGCAGTTACCTCAAGGGGACCAGTTCTCGCCTGACTTAGCAACCGCATTTGCAATGCCAGACTCTACTTCAAAGCAAAAATGCTAGACTGTCATGACGGACCCACTTCCGCTAACACCCCCTCGTTCGTCTCTGCATCTCTAATGGAGCTATGATTTTATTCCATGACGTCGTCGTTGCGTTGTATTCACGTGGATGTTTTCGTTCGTATTTTCCTGCCCTGAATCAGGGACATTTCGCTCAAATCGTCATTTATGCTTTGTTCATTTTTTTTCTTGATGTCACGACATCGTCACCACCATCATTTTAGGCTGTCTAGCACTTGTTGTTTATTACGTTGGTGTCCGTGTTGTTACGCGGAAGTCGAGTCAGATCAACCGGAACGACTACGGCACACCGTTCTTACACCGGAACATCTACAGGTAGTAGAGGTAAAGTTTTGATCTACCGAACATTTGTATGAGATTCTAGCATTGAAGTCCACTATACGTATTCAACCGACGGAACGTGACGTCGTCATTGTAAAGTGTACTGGTGCTAAAGCTACTGAATCTCCTTCAACTACCACAAAAACTGCTCAAATGACAACTACTACAATGCTCACATCGTTAGACGTTATTACACCCCCTAATGGCAACGGTGAGTGTTTTGCATTTTGTTAGTTTTCGAAAATCATTTTCATTTTTTATTGTCATTTTTCTTGCCTCCAACTTGATTTGATCATTTATTCAAAGCTTCTCCTCTTTTATGAATCATCCCACCATCTCCTATTGTAAGAGGGGTCCCATATTCTGCAAACTATGATAGACGAGAACTGGTCCCCTTATCATAAATTTTGGCCACGCGCGTCCAACTAGTTCCAGGCATTTCATTCCGATAAAAAGCATTAATTTGCGAATCCAAAGCATACTTTCCACTTTGGGGACCAGTTTTCGTTTGCAAATTAGTCGCCTATATACAGTGCAACAACAGCATCAATCTTGACAAAGCGTTATTGCACGAGATACGAAAAACACCTAAAGTTTCTGGTTTGGGGGAACCAGTTTTCGGGTAGAGCACTAAATAGGCTCCACTCGGCGCGGACAGCTGGTACAAATCTATAATGTGCTGCATAGTTTGTCGCAGATGTTCGCCTGGGATCACCTTTTGCGGTGACATGTAGTCCTCTACCTCCGTTTTTCTTCGAAAACTTGGTTACACTGACACAACAAAAGCAGAATATCATACGGGTTCCGATAGATATCCACGCTTTTATGCTTGGGACCAGTTTTCGTTAAGATGCTTAACCACACTAACAGGTCAAAAGCATCAATTTATGAAAAAATTATTACCATTGGGCCACGATTCTACTTCGAAGACCAGTTTTCGTCGACCTTGACATGTATAACAAATCAAAAGTATGAAGAAAAAATGAAAACGACTGTGCCTCGAAAGCAAGTAGTACTTTTCACTATGGGGAACAGTTTTCGTCTCAGTCAACATTTTTTTACCTGACGCCAAAGAGCGGTCATCATGCTCGTACGTGCATTATAGTTTCTAGCTAGATATAAGTTGCGGCTGAAGAAATATTCTTTCTCAAGAATTGTTTTGACATTCTCGTCAAGCGCACTGGAAACATTTACTCTCTTTATTGTCCACGAAAGGCATTGGTATTTGCAATATCGAAGCGCAATTTGTTTAACGAACGCGAAGTCGTTGACACAATGGCGTCATTGTTGTGATTTGTGTCGCTGCGTACTTTTCACTCATCATAAGCTAGTATTTTTAATAATTTGACAAAATTGCCATTTGTTTACCTTTAATCTCGTCAAATGCGTCTTCAAACAGGTCTTTGCACAAATTTCGCCTAATTTGTGGCAGCGAGAGAATTTTTGCGCGTCTAAGGAACTTGCTTCGACTTTTTATCAATTTCTAAGAGACTGTCTCTCGCCCCGCCCACTCTTCTCTAGCCACGCCCCCTCTGCATTTGCCGCTCATCGGACATGTAACTTCTAACCCGTTAGGTTAATTTATCGAAAATTTTTCCGATCACGTTATTCACATTAACTCACCCCATCGCATCGTCACCACAACTGTGTCGTTTTTTCTCTTCTTTGCCGTTCGTTTGATTAGATGCCGCTTGTCGACATCTATCATAGTCTTATCAATGGCTCAAAAGTACAAACATCGATTTTCTATTCGGAAACCGCTGCACCGGCCATTGTCATCACGAATGTGCTCAACGCCTGTACCTCTATTCTCATTCTGTCACAGTCTCGTGAATCGTTTTCGGGCTTCGCCAGCAGATTGCTCCTCATTGGCTAGGCTGATTTTGCCAGTATCATCATTTTGTACTCACAACATACAAAACCATATATGGAAGAGAAACTACTTTAATGCACGTACGCATAACTTGTCTTATAAATCCAAACTGTGAAAAAAGTATATTTGCAAACTCAGCGCTTTGCCATTTATTAGAATTAGATAAGCTCAGCTAGTCCATGACAAACATGCTTCAAAAGGTTTTTGCAAATTTTGCCACTGCCGCGCGCTTTTTAGACAATGTGCCATAAAGAGAGCCATCGTTCAGTGTTGCTTGCTATCGCTTCGCGTCGCTTATCATCGCTCATTGTCGCTTGATGTCGCCCACTGTCACTGATCTATCGTTTGTTACCTCTGTAGTCATAAATGGACCTTCCTGGGTTTTTTTTTGCGAATTGATGCTGGTGTTTGATGATGAAGTCGATCATTTATTTCTTTTTTATGCTTTTTGTTATCAAAGACCAGAGCTTGTGCTCGCGCTTTGTCGTTTCACTCGCCTTTTGTCGCTTCTGTCGGTCGCCTACGTCGCCTACTGTCTGTCGCCTTTTTGAAGCCGGGCATGTGAAAAATTCATCTCAAAAGGTTTTTTTTTTGGTGCAATACCTTGATGTTCGCAAGGAAGCGACTTTGGTATACTCCTGCAAAAACTCGCGCGCTGTGACTTGCCAACTTACCTTTGCGACATCCCTCTAAATCTTTGCAAGCCATCTCTTTTGTCCAAGTGCACCTATACATCTCCTAGAACCGACAAAGTGCGCGTTATCGCTGCAAAGTTCGAAAAACTGACCGATTGGTAGCGGATCAAGCGTCGATCTGTTTTGTCCTCGAACACTGTTGGTGGTTGGCGCAGCAACGGCGACGACGACAGCGAGGTCGTCAGAACTAGTTCGATGACTCATCCGTACCTCTATCTCTACACTGTATCGCACACTGAACAAAACACAATGCGAGCCGATAGTTGATGTGCGCGCCGTCTTCAATTCGTTCAGGCATTTGCAGAACTCCTCCTGAGACGGTGGTACTTCCTCCGGGTTCCTACTTTTTTTGCCCTCATGACTCAAGTGTATTATTTCCGCTTGAAACAGGTTCATGCACCTCTTCACATTGCAATTAGTAGCATTTTAGATGTTTTATCACCATGTCAGGTCCCGATGCATTCAGGGAGTCCTTATCAACTCAAATAAGTATGAGCTGTCACTTTGTCATTAATAGCAGCCCCATGAATGTATTTTTGGAGAGGGCAGTCCAAAGTGTCATTAAAATACCACCCCCCCCCCCCTCCAATTTCTCTTCCCCACATTTAGCGCCTAATCTAATTGTCTCATTAAACTTATTTTCATGACCTTCAAGCTTTTTTCGATTGATGGATTTCTATGCTAGAAGCTCAGCCTTCCGGTAGCTCAATGCAAATAGTACCCCTTCCGAGTACGGAAATGGAGGGGAGAAGGGGGGGGGGGTAGGATTGGGGACTTGCATGACTATTAAGAGTGATTTACACGCGTTTTATCCGGCCTCTAGTTTCAATTATCAGTACATTTTTGCTAGTTTTTACTGACACTAACACCACCAACAATTTTTTTTGGGGGTGGGGGGGGGGAGAAGGAGGAGGGCTTCCAGCAAACTTCAGAATGTTGTGAGCTTTGAATTTGCTTGGGAAGCATTCCAAACTTTTTGGAAAGAGCAGCCATACACATTTTATGCATAATTCATAATACGTGCTCATATACCGTTTTTCTCTTTTTTCTTGTCAGCTTTAGCCTTCTCTTCTAAATTTTGTAGTTCGCCGGGGGACAAATTATTTTCTGTAAAATTTACATCACGAAGAAAGACAACTTGTTAGCGTTGTGTGGCACTAGGTTTTTTATGACCTCCACAATCGCTCCTTGCGCCATATTCTGGTTCGAAGAGTGTACCATGTAATCACGTAGGTTCGCACGAATTTATAAATCTGGTTTATGTGGACATAAAAAAGTTCTGAACCCTTTTGATAGGCTTAGCATGCATCCATACCAGTTGTACCGACAAACACGTGCACCACATCAATCAGTCACAATTTTTTCCCCTAAAAATGCAAATCAATTGATGAAAAATGGGCGCAGAAGTTTTCTCCAAGTTCCTCATTTTCGGACAGAAAACAGCTAAATTAGATTGCAAGTTCTAGCTTAGGGACTAGTTCTCGTAATACGATTAGTTAGTTATAATAAAGTCACACTGTGTGTATAATGTTCTCTTAGCTATTGCAGCTTCGAACAGCCACCGGGACCGATTTTCGCCACTTTTTCCTGCCTAGAAAATGAAAGAGCGCGAATTTTGTGCTTAGTGAAAAATGGGGGCAGCCATCTCCTTTAAAAGCCTCATTCTTCGGCAAGGAAAAACGAGATCAATTTAGAGTTCTAGTATGGGGAGCAGTTTTCCCTCTGGATAAATTCGACATATTACTTAATATCGTAACCTAATTAATATTATTCTGTGTGCATGCGAGGTGTACGTTTTTTACGTTATACACTATACACTACGCTACATGCTATACATACTTTTCATATGCCAGCGCTGCTTCGGCGATACGGGGACCAGTTCTCCCTATCTGTTTGTCTACCTGAAGAACAAGAAAGCACGCAGATCTACATTTACCATCAAAGCTTAAAGCTTTCCAAATGTTCAGGACATGCACATCCATCCTGCGAAAACTGGTCTCTGAGAGTACATACATGAAGTTCGCAGAGCTTGCAACATATCAGGGGTTTGCCACCCTCACAGAGCATCAGAATAGGATGATTAAATTTCCGATCATTTCCCCTTTTGGAATGCTCTGACGCTATATGTTTGCTTATTATGGGGTGTCGTACTTTTCATTCTTTATACTCATTCGTCCGAACAGACCCTCCAAAGGGCATCTACATCGGATTTTGTCATGTTTTGCATTTTTGCGGTTATGAGTCATCTTTTACATTGCAATTTTGGTAAATAGGTGGACAAGCTTTTGAAGAGTTCAAAGTTATCTCAAAACAGCTTCTCTTATCAGATGTGATGATGCGCCAAGTCGGTAGGAACTCGTGACCGGCGTGGGTAAATCGTCAATGCACCGCCAGGATCGTCGTTTGGCGTTTCTTTCGTTACTGATAAGACAAGTGTCGGCGATCCTACGCCAGATTGACGGACAACGTTCATTCTGTCAACAGCACTAGCCACGTTCGGTGCCGTTCCGGTATTTTCGAAAAGTTTTTGTCTGCAGTTAATCGTCCGCAGTTTGACCCACTTAGATGGCTCCAAACAGTGCTTAGCCTGTCCGTGGCGTGTTCGTTGGGTACTGTAGTCCTTTGTACCCTTTTCTTCTTGCTCTTTTGGTCATATCTCTTCTTTTTAGTTCTGGTATTCAATTTTATAATCTTCTATAAGTACTTGAGCGTATTTCATAGCGCTTATGACTCATTTCAATCAATTGAAAATAAAGGGTGATTTTTGTGCGTTCCTGATTTGATAAAAATCTTTAAGGTACCCTTTGATTCAACTGACTTGACGGCTGGAAGGCGGGGCTTCGTAATCTAATTAAGGCTAGATAGTGATCAGAGAGCACACGCGCGACAGAGACGCAGACTGCGTCGCGAGCGCGAGCGGCCTTAATTAGGTCACAAAGCTCCGCCTTTCAACCGCCAAGCCGTTGAATCAAAGGTTAGGTTTTCTTCGAATTTTGCATGTGAGAGCGCAATAGTGAACTAAAAGGTGGGGAAGTTGAAACTGGGAGGTAGAAAATTTTTGAATTTTTTCCAAGAGATTCTCCACCAATTATTATGACTTAAGTCCCTTTTTCTACTTAATTGTGGGTTCTCCACTTCTCCTGCCCTCTTTTTTTACTCCGACGAGTTTTCTTAATTACTCTTCGGCAGGAGATTGCCTTCCATTTGAGGATAAGATTTCCACTTCAGAAAGGCGATGCTGCCTTGCGTTCGAAGAGAGTACAGTCATGATTCTAGAGGGAAATAGCAGAAACAGCAATGTTTTTGCTTTTCCGGACAATTAGCACAACCATCATATGACGCAAAGATAGCTTCCAGACGAATTTTTGCAACGAAACCTCTCATATTCCCATGCCCTGTCTTATCTGCAGAAATAAAACTTTTTCTTGAATGATACACATTTCAAGCAATCACCACTCTGCTAAAGCATTTGTTCACTGATCTGGAGAATTTCAAAGAAAATTCCGTACTTCAGCATTTACGTCATTTTCCGCAATGTGGCAATATCGCTCTTACCGCATTCTTCGCATTCTTTAGCGACGAGACATACGGTAATCACGAGTGAGATAATGTGACCGCTAATTCAATCATCTTTTGCGATATTGGTGAAAAATCTTGAATTTGCTCAAATATGTGGGTCATTCCACTGCCACCCCCCCCCCCCCCCGCCCTCCCTCATCTCTTTTTTCTGTTTTGAATTCATGCTTCCTTAGTAAGGCGCTACAGTAGAAGTCTGATAAAATCAATTTTCCCATCACAGAATCTGTAGTGATCGTTCTTGATCACGGTTTTGAGAAAATTTCTAGTTAGGGCGTGGTGAAAGATACCAACAAAATAGGGCGGGGCTTGAACCTAAAAATCTGATTTCCATAAATCAAGAATTTTGTTGGAGCAGAGAAAAATAGCAGGCACTAACAAAACCAAGTAGCTGCATATGTTCAATACCCTACGCATCTGGGAGCATCTTTGCCCCCCCCCCCCCGACTCTTATCTACCTTTTCTCCGTCAGGTTCTTTATCAAATTGCCTCCTTTAGCGCATTATTCGTAATTCAATATCAACATGCACAATTCCCTTCCTCGTAAGATTCATTAACCCCGCCTCATTTTTTCCTCATTTCCCGAAAAATTCATTTTTCATTCCGTCAAACTACAGGCAATACCTCCTCAAAACGCCGGACAGGTGTGCACTTATGCGCCTCCACTTCCTGTATGACCTTCATGTGTGCTCCAGACGTCAATAAATCACCTTTCAAGTGGAATGCGCTTAGAATGTAAACAGAGAACATTAGCCGTCGTCTGGAACATTCTGCAGCGTTAGGTCATATGTTGTTCTTGCTTAAAAATAGATCGTGCAAGCGCGGTAGTCGAAAAGAAAATCGCGCATTGACTCCAGAAAGGCGCGCGCTGACGTCACAGCCGAGTTTTGCACCGTGTTTGCACACCGCGTGGTGTTGGCAATCTTCCAGAAAAAAACTTTCGAGAGCACCAGCTGTTAGCTTTCCTTTGCTCTCTGCTAAGCCCATGATGCAATGTGCAAGCGAGGGAGAAGGGAACAGAAGTTTTTGCGCCAACCAGCTAGGGAGGGGCAGGACGTGCCATTTATTTTCCCCTCTGCAATTCCATGCTCGATTATTGCAGGAATGCAACAATCGACCTTGATGAGCACGCGGCGCGTTAATAGTTGTGCTGTACGTACACTTGCCCTTTTGTTTTCTGCACTGATATCATCATGTTTATAGTCACTGGCAAAGTGCAGAGCGACAGAGTCCGGGAAAATCCCACCACCTCTGCGTCTCTGACCGAAGTTATTGCTCATTTGTCGTTCATTAGCGCAGAGATCCATGTTGCTTCCTTACATGTGTCAGAAGCTCTTCTTCCTTGATCCTTGTTTCAAAAAGCGTATATTCCTTAGCTCTTCGTTTCAGGACCACGCGTTCAGCACATATTAAGGTTTGAGAATTAGACAATATTCTCGTTTCTTTTCTTCTTTGACTCGGTGACAGCGCACAGGCAGATAGTCAAATGTTGTATGAGAGTGTGCGATTGTGCAGACCGAAGACGAGCACACTTGACCGCCAAAGAGTAAGGTGGGCGGGGCTGGCACATCTAGGCGGTTCCGGTGAGGTTGAAAGCAGTTCTAATTTCTGAATCGTTAATGTGCAAGTTTTGCTCTTTTAAGACAGTAAAGAATTTCCGAATTTAGCCTCCACTGGATATTCATCCCAAATAGTTATGTCACCCCCCCTGTCCCCTGTAACTCTACCTTCTCCCCCCCCCCCCCCCGCCCCCTTCCCATCCTGTACCCCGGTAAATCCGAAATGTTGAAGCCATGGTAAACCTCCAACTCCTAAACTCCCTGTAATAAAATGTCTAAAGATGAGTTGAAGCGTAAATCTTATAGTCGAAAGTGCCACGCCCACAATTTGTCTCGCCCCTACACCCACGCCATGTATTCCTTGCGGAATCAACAACCTTCCCACATAACTTGATATTCTTCCTTTTCTTTTCTGGAAAGTTTCTTGAATTTTCTCTCCTTCACTCCCCTCCCCCTCCTTCCCTAATCGTACAATTCGCCAGTACATCATGGTTTTGCAAAAGATGCACTTTCGTTCCATTCTCATTAATCACTTGCGAGCTGATCAAAACAAGTGCGATGACGAATCCGGCGCAACACCGGAGAGAGGCTACCTCGGCGTAATCAGCACCTGTTCGCGGGCCACGTGTAACTCGTCCTACGATTACCTATCAACGCCCTTTGAACTTGTGCTTGCCTTGCCTTAGATGGGGCGAACACACACACACGTGGCGGCACATTTACTCAACTGCACCGGCCCTCGTCTGCTGCCCGATAGTGCTTTGAGGGCATATCGCAGCTGTTCGGTGCAGATGACGTAAACCATATATCGACTTTTGTCATAAATTCCATTATTCTATTCCATGACAGCAATACACCTTATATGACGCTGTTTTCTTTGTGATTTCTCCAGAACTTCCAGCAAATTTCTGCTAGAAATCTGCCCATCTCAAGCATGCGCTCCGCCCACTTTTCCTATAGATCTGCACTGTGCCCGCGCTGACAAAAAAAGTCTTCCAACATGTGAGATATGCAGAGTTGCAAATTATCACTATTCATATAACGAGACTTACACGGCTAGAGCAAAATGGGCGGGGCGAATGCAAAAGTGGGCAGGGTTGTAGCAGTTTTCTCATTTCCAGTAGAAATTTAGAATTCATTTCCTTTTACGTTCCAATAAGCATTTCTCTTCTTCAATGGATAGATATTCCCATTCTAACAAGGGAAGGATGGTTGGTCGAAGTGGCCTTTTGAGATGAATTGTATACCATGGTGGAGGGCATAAAACCCTGATTCCAAATCTGTCTTCCTTATCTGCGGCGCATTCCTGGAGGAGGAGTTATGAGCGTTTGAAGGAGCAAAAATGAGTGTTTTTCTGGGATAAAAACATTGGCTAAAATTTTCCCAGCGCTTGAATGAAACAGCCGGAGTGTGGACTTATCTCAACTTAGAGTATTTATTTTATAGAGTGTTTGAAAGATTACCACTGGTCCATTTAAGCGCTAGGAATAATGTTACTACTGTTTTTATATCAATTGCACATTCAATTTTTTTCTCCAATAAACGCTCATAACTTCTTGTGCAGGAACGCGCCGCAGATAAGGAAGACAGATTTGGAATCAGCGTTTTCTGCCCTACATAATGATATACAAATTATCGCAAAAGGCCGCTTCGATTGACCATCCTTCCCTTGTAAGTTATACCAGACCGCTGAAAAACCATCGCTAAATGAAGCAGTAAGAGTAAGACGGCTAGAGCAAGGTGGGCGGAGCAAATGCGCGGTTACGGCAGGATTATAGCAACTTTGTTAACTCTCATCAATGGAAAACCAGGACATTACCTTTTCGCTTTCCCATATAATGAATAATTTCTTCACGAACGACAAGTATCCTCATTTGCAATCTGTACCATACCGTTCAAAAGCCATCGTTAAATCATATGGTAAGACTCAGACAGCCAGAGTAAGATGGGCGGGGCGAATGCATGGGTGCGGCAGGGTCATGGCATCTTTTTCCTGTTCCTTTGGCAGAAAAATAGAATTCTTTTTTGCCTGCAAACGCTTCAGTCGGAACAAGAGATTCATTATAGTTTGATTCTCAAATGTCCAAATGGCTACTAGGTGGGGATGCGGGTGCGAAGAGAGGATCTGACGCAGGCGATCGTGTGCCTTTTCGAATAGTTTCTAAACAAAAGTTTTTGCTCAAGCGAAGTTTCTAGAACAGAAAGAAACCTTCATTCCTTTGATTTGGAGTATTTTACCGTACCGTGTCAAGACGATTAACAGAGAAGCTGTGACTAAGTCGCCTTATCAGTAACAGTTTTGTCACGTGATCAGCAGATATTCACGCTAGGAACAATGTTTCTACATTTACTCATCCTTGTTTTCTTTCAATTCCAAAGTCCTATCTTTCTACCGTATCTTTATCAGTAATCTCACCAAGATCATTACGCAAACAATGTAATTATATTACAGAACCGGGAAACTTTGCTACTGCACTTCCAGCACAATTAGTCACTCAGAGCGCACCAAATACTCCGATAGCACATCGTATGGCAAGACAGGAAGAAAATCCTGGTACGGTAAAAAATCGATCAATATATCGATTGTGATGTCAAAGCATGACTAGCATTACAGACTTAGAAGCACAGCGGCACCAGAATCTGGTTGCACCTCCCGGTAAACCGCTTGGCAACAATTACTACAGAGCTGGATTAGGTTAGTTTCGACAGAAAATCGATATATCGATTGATGCATGCACTACTCTTATACAGGAACACTTTATGAAGGAATTTTCGCATGTTTCCGGCCAGTATGGGGATACTTTGGACGGAGTAATAATGATTTGTAAGTTTGGGCCACATTTTCGCTTTCGATTACTATTGATTTAATCGATTATAGAGTCAAATCAATAGAAGATGATTGGGAGATACCATTTGAAGCGATTACGGGTTTAGAATGGCTCGGTGCGGGTTCACAAGGCGCAGTATTCAGGTAAGTGAATAGGGGAAGGAGATGGAGCGGCTTTCGAGCGGGATACCGTAATTCTGAGAAGGAGTACCGTAATCTTACGCCTTATTTAGAGGATCTCTCAATGGTGAAACTGTAGCTGTGAAGAAGGTCAAACTGAAGGAAGAGACCGACATCAAACATCTACGGCATTTAGATCATGAAAATATTATCAAATTTATGTGAGTCTTCAAGAATCTGGTTAATTACGGTAGGGTTACGGTAAATTTTCAGAGGTGTATGTACACAAGCTCCATGCTATTGTCTAGTAATGGAGTACTGTCCAAATGGTCAATTAGGCGACGTTTTGAAATCGGACAGGGTTATAGGTGAGTATCAGACTAGACCGAGCTTACTGTAGTGCGAAATTATTGATCGATATCGATTAAAATGACACTACAGGCTGGCAAGAATGGTGTTCTTGGAGTAGGCAGATCGCTAAAGGCATGGAATATTTACACGAAAATAAAGTCATACATCGCGATCTGAAAAGTGCAAAGTGAGTGCTACCGTTTCTGATTTCCACTTTTTCGTCATATTGAAAAGTCAATATATCGATTGACCTGCATATTTTTCAGGCGCATGTTATCGCTCTGTTCGTTTTTTGTTGTTGATGGAAGTAATTTTGTGTGTACTTTGAACTGAAGTGTTTTCTTAACATGCTCACTGAAAAATACGCAGGCAAAATCGCACAAACTGTGCAATTTTTTGCTAAATTATTGAAAGCAATTTTTTCTCATCTACAGTATCCTGTTCGATAAGGAAGGTGTGGTGAAGATTTGCGATTTTGGCACATCACATCAACAAAAGAAACAAACCAGTACGGTGATGTCATTTTGCGGTACAGTAAGCTGGATGGCACCGGAAATGATTAGAAAACAACCGTGTTGCGAAAAGGTACGGTTTTATCCGCCTCTGATTGGTCCATCATCGAAGGGACCATTTAGGTTGATGTTTACTCCTATGGTGTTGTGCTATGGGAACTGCTGACAAGAGAACAACCATACAAAAATATCAACCAAATGGCGATCATATACGGAGTAGGTTCCGAGTGAGTACCTTTCAATTTACTCTCATCTACTGGTTGAACTTGAATGTGATTGGTTGTTCTACCAAGTGGGCGTGACCAACCAATGACCATACAGTTCCGGAGCATGTACATTACAGAAAGCTGTCACTCCCCATCCCAGAGACGGCACCCGATGGTTTGAAAATGTTGATGCGACAATGTTGGAGTAAAACTCCAAGGAATAGGCCATCTTTTACACAGTGTTTGAAGCACTTGAAAATCCTCTATGAAGAATTTAAGGAAATGGGTGATGAGGTAGGCGGAGCTTGAGCGAGCAAACAAAGCTTGAACATTTGATCTCATCTGCTTGTTAGGAATTCTTCCGTCGGTCCGCTAAATGGCGTGCAGATGCGGCCAATATAGTGTATCCAGCGACGATCACAAAAGGCGACGCTTTGAATCTTGCTGAACGCGAAGATGGTAAGTTGCTCATCAACAAGGCTGAGGGGGGGGCCTCGTTACATTATTTACACACTAAAGTTTTTCTTATTTAGAGAAAGAGCTGATCCGAAAAAGACGCGAGGAACTGAAGCATGCTCAGGATATCCGTGAAATGTACGAGAATAAGCTGAAACGGACCAACAAAATGTATTCCAAGTTGACCGAATGTATGAACGAGTTGCTGCTGAAAGAAAAGGTACTCTTCGTACCAATCGATATATCGATTTTTCAAAGTATTTTTCTTTCAGGAACTAGAACAACGCTTGCGAATGCTCGATGAACAACAACGTTACTACCCATATTTGTACCCGAGCACTAGCCGACCTACTGTAGTTCGCGCTGGACCACGAACTATGAGAGGATCAGAGCAAGAGTACGGTGGCTTGCTACCACGTGCTTCACGAGATCATTACGGTCATTACAGTATCTACTGTACTGCAGTCGATGCTTCTTATGGTATGGATGTCTCGTCAAGCGAGGAGGAACTGCCAGAATATATTCGTGGTTCACCGTATAGATGCAGTCAGGCTAGTAGGTAGGCAACTAAATATCTACCAAAAATGGGCGTGTCTTGGTTTGCGTAACGCCAAGTCCACGCCCGTATTCTCCCGTCTTCCAGCAAGGGGCCGACACAGTGCTGGCACAGGACGCCGCAAAGTACCCTGCGAGCCACATGGAGTCGCGTTTTTTGATCGCGATTTTGGGTGCCGGCCCCGTGCCGACACAGTGCCAACGCGGTGCTGGCACCACGCTTGCACGCCGGCGACTATAAAAAGCCTATAGTTAAGAGGGCGAGAGACAAAGTGGAAAAAAATTTATCTAGATCTTATGATTCCAGCTCATCCGGCTTCCCCTCATCCGTCTCAGCCACATTCTCGCGACAATCCTCATCTCGCAGTTCAGCTGGCATGCGACGTCGTGACAGTGCCCTACGGGAATCGCCTGCTCGAGGCCACCATAGTCGTAAGTCTTCGCCTGTCTCCCTCTGCAACATGAAAGCAATAAATTCTTTTTAGCCTTCTCTCGTAGCCCCTACATGCGACATTCCTCTTCTTCGCAACATTGTTCCGAGCTTGTTCGGAACTCACCAGCACGGACTAGTGGAATGTCGGAGGACAGTGGTGTACATATGTGGAATGAACCTCCTATGCTCCAAGGAGGACAACCTGTAAGTTTTATCAAAGGCGTTTTCCGGTAGGCGTTATCAGTACGCGCCTATAATTGGCAACTTTTCAAAAAGCTAATTTTTCTATAAAAGGGCAAATAAAGTTTAAAAATTGTTGCAGGTTGTCTACTCGCAAACTTTATTCCGTAATGTGGATGGTCGTTGGTCAGATAGTCGAATTGTATCACGAAGAAAGCCAAAGCGTTCAACAAATACAAACTTCCAACGGGACAGTCCGGCTCGGATACCACAGAGTGAGCCCTCAAATCCTTGATTCTTGTTGTCACATTTGCCAAAAAAAAGGCGTGGCTTTTTTCTAAAAATTCATCTCCGAAAAAGCACGCCCTCTTCCATCCAGACCAAGAATAATCAATTTCGAGAGGTCTCTTCAATCTTTTATTGTAGGTCGTTCCAAGCAGAGAGCTTCTTATCCGTCGCCCATGCATCTAGATCTGGAAAGTTGTTGTACTTGTAACAATGAGAACTGTCCTCGACAATTACGGTATGTTCCTGCGTCTTACTGTAGCATCACAACCAATCAGTCACCAATTTGCAGGGCCCGGTCAATGATCCACGAACGCTTGTCCCATTCGCCGACGTCTTGCGAGGACCCAACTGAGTTGAGTGTGTCAAATCTCCCGGCTTCTACTTCCTATGAAGAAGCGCTTCGACATGCAGTAGATTTGCCATCGTCATCATCTGAACATCGCTTGTCGACGGTTGTAGAGCCGACATCTTCGAAAAATATGGGGTAGGTCCGGCATTGTAGAAAATGCCTATTTGTTTGCAAGAATCTATTCAAAGTCTCATTTTAGCTACACGAACCCGATCTTCATATCGCCCGTCACCTCGTTTGACCATCCAATGTCTTCGCCCGAATCACCAACAAGTCCGATATCACCCATAAGTCGAAAACCATCAGGACAAATGGCCAACGTTGATCCCAATATCAATCTGTTCTCGCTTGATGATAATAATCCTCATGAGCACAAACAACATATACAATCAGATGCATCGGGAGAAAATAGTACGGATGACGAAAAAGACGAAGAGAATGGGTAGGAATCCAAATTATCGATCAAACCTTCGGAGATGAATAGATCGGCTTTTCCAGAAATGTCTTGGATTCATCACTGGATTCACAGAAGGCCTTTAGCGCATTGACAAAGACCAGCAGTGAAGAGGACAGTTCTGGGAAAAGGTAAGTATGCAGCTGTGAGAGAAAGTTATAGAGGAGCGTGTGATAGGGCGGCGCTAGCCAGAGGAGTGTGTGATAGGGCGGAGCTAGCCAACCTAGTATGGCAATGGACGGGATTGACCAATTCGATTTGGCAAAAGGCGGGGCTAGCACATCTGACTCAACAAGGGGCGGGACTAGTCGATCTAATGTGGCAATGGGCGGAATTAGCCAATCGTGAACTAAAGGGTGCGCAAATAGTCAACCTAGTACTACGATGGGCGGAGCTAACCAATCTTGGCAAGGGCGGGGCTAGCCAGCCAAAGGATCCTAGTTGGAAGGAAGAAAAATTCTTTGCTTTTATAATTCTGCTCTTCCATACTCTATTTTGATCTGCGAATGATTCAGAAAACGCGAACTAATTATGCTGACGTCCTCATCAACCATGGCTTCATCATTGGAACGATCTCTCGAACAAGGCGCTATGCATTCCGATGGACTTAGCGATAAGGAACGTCGCGTACGGGCTGTCAAAAACACAATCCGCGGACATCGGCGAACACAGTCGGTATGTAAGGCAATTCCGGAAAATTCGCAACCTTCTGCGAAAATTCTGTAAAACCGTAATTTTAGCCGTTGCAGAATCAACAATCCGTGATCATGTCGAAAGTGGACGAAACCAGCTCGGAAACAGATTCCGACGACGCTGTCGACATTTAGCCCCGCACCAAAATTTGGCAGGGCGCACTACGAAAATCAATGTGAAGTTGAGGCTCCGCCCCATCTCACATTTTCTACCCAACTTTTCTGAATATCAAAGAAAAGTTTACAAATGATATGAGTACTCGGTGAAAAACCAAATCATAAGAAAATCGGTGTTAATGGTTGTGTCGTCAAATTGTGTGTAATTTTTCATATGTTATTATTGTATTTTTGCTCCTGATGTTATCATTCAGACGTCACACTTAAATTGACGCTGATTTACACAATACTGCTCACTCTTGCCCCAATTTTGGTAGTTTTGTAGTGTAAGTAATGTTAGAATTGTAGTTGAGTTTCTTTTCATTGTAGCTTGGCTCTAATCATCTTATTCTGTCGTAGTGTGATAGAGACGCAAAGGAATTGTATAATTAGTTGTGTCGTCATTTCTCTCAATTTCATTTATCATTTCATGTAGCAATCGATAACAATCGATAAACTCATTATGTATTTATGTAATATTGTAATGTAATAACTTCTAATGAACTTTTTTCAAGATGATTTCTCACCATTTTCGAGAGCAATATGTTGTGTACCTCATTGGAAGCAAGAGCAAAATACATATGTCGCCTTTGATTCAGATGGTGCAATTGCACTGTCTGGGAGATACCGCATGCAGTCTGCAAGGTTGCTTCTGTCTAAGGCCCGTATGCACTAACATTTTTGCGGCGGGGGGAGCGGCGTCCCCCGTTTTTGTAATTCTACAAAAGGGTAGTTCCAATTCGTAAACTTCATTAGTAATTCTTCGTAAACCCAAGATGAGGGTGTATGACTTTATGAACGATAGCATGTGCCAGCCGCCTGCTGGGTACCGTACGCGATGCGCTGAACGCTCCGCCTCCTTGTCAATTAGTTAGGAATGCGTTGCAACTATCAGAAAACTCTAATATTTCGTTCATGCTCCTTCAGTTAGCTGCAGTTTGGATATAGAATAGAATTCAAAATTTCAATTGAATTGAAAACCAGCTTTCAGAATCATTTTTCATTATTTAGTTCGCAAGCTCTTTTTTGATGTGTTTCAGTTTTTGTTCCTAGTAGGTTTTTTAAAACTAAGTTTTACAACTTTACTCATAGCTAAAAACAGATTTCATTACGGCGAGAATTCAAAACAAGCATTTTAGGCAAATTTTGTTTCAAGCAAACTAATTTCAATAACTTGTATATATCATTACAATTGATAATCTTCTTCAATTAACAAAATTCTTTCATTTTGCTCCCATCAGTTTAAATGATCGAAAACCAATTTCAACAAATATTCACTTATAACTCGAAATTCATAAGATTTTAGAAAAGCGAAACTCGTAAGAATTTAGAAAAACCGTAGTCACCTACAATTTCTACCTGGAATCTACTTTGACAAAAAATAATTGTGCATTACTTCCAGAGACTGCGCTTTCGATCAAATCGATTGCTGATTCGCTCGAAGTTGCGTGTGAACAGTTAAAGATATGAGGTCACCCAGACAATCATGCCTGAGGTGTTCTATAATAGATTGATTTCACACTTCTAATTTGCTACGAAGACACTCGGTCATTCGGAGGTGAATCAGCAAAACATTCAAGAGATCAGTATCTCACAAATGGGCAAAAAATCAACAAGAAAACTAACGATTCTGTTTATAATAAGTCTTCCCGGCTTGAAGCAAGCTTATGCCTTAATATCAAAGACTGATTTTAGTGGACTGGTGAACATGGCTATGAACCAGTGCCCAAGCTGTAGTGCAGGAAACTCGTCCATCTAGCGATAGGCAGGGCTAACGGTGCGCACCTTATTGACACATGCCTGCCTAATCGCGCGCTATCGTTCATAAAGTCCGCCACCCCAAGATGACTGTACACTTAGCGACGTTCATAATGAATGCGCTCGATGTTTTGATAATCACCTATCATGCTGTCAGCCATTTGCCTACTCGCATTATCTGTCCTTACATGAATTGAGAATTAGTTTGGATGTACGATTGAATGCGCTAATGCGTCTAATGGTTGGCGCACAATATGCAAATACACATTAGGCTCACTCTCTTCATGCTGTTGCTTCCATATAAATACATGCTAATGTTTGATGCTTCGCCTTTTCGCTATTTCCCTTTGCGCCAATAAACGTCTGAAGCTATCATTGCTCGTCACCTACGAACCTACCACCGGACGTCCGTTACCCAAGTTTGAGATGCCTGAACCGACGATGTCTGCGCGCAGTCTGCTCATTCTGGCTCTCGGTGAAATCTGCGTTGGTGTACAATTTCAATTCAACTTTCAAAATCTGCAATGCTATTTCAAGTTCACTGAATCCAGTACCGACCGCCCAAGTCCTTCCCATCCTGCAAACACCACTCCTCTACCTCTATATAAGGGTTCGTGCCCCCAAGACCTCTATGACTGCGACATATGGTCAGGAGGCGACTGCTATAGGAATGACAAAGCGGTCAGGTATACCACGACTGGTGATGCTTTGCTAAACTGTCCAGACCCTGACTTAGTGAAAATCACTCTCAAATGGGATCGTGGTGACATGAACTTCATACGTGCTAATCGGTTCAAAGCTACCAGTCAGATGATGTGCAGAAATGGCGAATGGTGGTTGTATGCTAGTATTGGATATGATCGTCCTCTTCGACACATTGCTTGCTATCTATCTCCTAGCTGGTCTACTATCAGTAAGTCCAACGGCACTATTAAGGACATTCCATACACAGCATCGTGTCCCAAAAACCTCTACAATTGTAGTATCCTGTCTGGTCAGGACTGCCATAAGTATGCCGACGCACTTTATGCATCGACAAGCACGGCCGACGCTTTTGCGAGCTGCCCCAACAACTTTGGCTATTTCGCGAAAATTGCGTTCAAAGATGGAAAGGGCGATATAGACGTGATATGGTACGAAGCTAATTTCAAGTGCATAAATAACGAATGGAAGTACTGTAAAGATGGATTGTGTCGTCCTGTTCGCCATTTCGCTTGCTATGTTGCGAAGTAATGAGTAAACTCAATCTATGCAAGTTATATCCATGCACTTTTAATAAATCTGGTAGCATAAAAAAAAACGTTGGAATGGACTTTTTTGGTCCCATGCCTTATCGGACTAGCGAAAATACTACTGGAAAGTACTGGATGTTACTTTTTACATGTCTAAACTGCCGAGCGATTTACGTAGATGTGATACTAGATATGACAATAACAACAGTACTTCATGTACTGAGGCGATTTATCGCCAGCGTCGGGTGCCCAAAATGGATCATCTGCGACAATGCACAAACCTTCAAAACGGGAGGCGTGCAAGTGTTACCCAGGCAGCCGCCTGGTGCCGCAGCCAGCCGCCAGAGCTGGCACCAGCGTCGCGGCTGAGCTACCGTAAGCGCGCTCTCGTCGTCCGCAATCTCTCGCAGGGAGATTTTCGCAGCAGCCTCGCACCTCTCGCGCTGAGGTGCGAGAATTCCTTCAGAGATCGAGCTACTGCCACATATTATATATCGATCAACACAGCGGAGAATTTGTGGTTTATTAGTAATATACATTACAAAAAATATAAACAAAAAAAGTTAAATAAATAAAAAACAACACAAAAAATCACAAATGAAAATCACAATCAAATTTAAAATTTTACATCCCCACTGCTGTCAAATGGTTTTCTCTGTGACAAATTTGGACAATTTTGTGGGCATTTACCTCAATAATTACATCGGAATAATAGATATGAATATTTGGCAGTTGAATTTGTAGGAAATCCTCCCCATCCGGTAAAATTCTTAATTCTTCGGGGATGCTGTTCATTTCTACCCTATTTACTTGCGAGGATGCAGCTCTAAAAAATCCGCAAAAAATCCAAAAATCCAAACAATTCACAATTAATATTCAAATGAAAAAAGAAACAAGGAATTACCTAGTAACGAACACCTTGCGCTTGCATAGCCCGTTCTTACAAAATCTGCTAAGACTTTGTTTCTAGCCTCCAGTGCTAAACTCATTTTTTTTCTACAGAACCTAGTTGTATTTTAGTCAGGGAAGCTACATTTCCATGAAGTTTTCAAAATCGAGAAGGCGGTTTCTTTGAAGGGGACACCGGGGCTTATTCTTTGTTTTTGATGTCCCCTTTTTATTTTCTGGCAGCTCTAAAATGCAACATTTTTGGACTACAAGTAGATTTTAACTTTTTAGACTTTCAGCGGCTGAAGAGTAAAGCTGGCTTGTAGCAGGTAGCGGATTCTGGGATTGATAATCTTTTCGAAAAGATTCGGTAACAGGCAAAAAATCAATAATTACCTCCAATAGCAACGGATTCTCTACATATATCTGACCTAGGGTATTAAAGTCTTCTGCCCCAAAGGTCACAACGAATTGTGCCAAAAAATCATTCAACAATCTATTTTATATTTTTTATGAACTTACTCCACGATGTTATGCTTTCAATTTTTGTAATCATTCCATCAATTTATTTATTCAACTTTTTTGTTTTTGTATATTTTTTGTAATATATATTACTAATAAACTATAAATTTTCCGCTGTGATCGATATATAACATGTGGCAGTAGCTCGATCTCTGAAGGAATTCTCGCACCTCAGCGCGAGAGGTGCGAGGCTGCTGCGAAAATCTCCCTGCGAGAGATTGCGGACGACGAGAGCGCGCTTACGGTAGCTCAGCCGCGGCGTTGGTGCCAGCTCTGGCGGCTGGCTGCGGCACCAGGCGGCTGCCTGGGTAACACTTGCTACGCACCCGTGTGCCAGTCATCCCGAGTCCTGCTTAATTTTTTTTCTGAAATTGCTCCAGAAATCTCTTCTTACCTGAGCTTCATTTCATGGATTTACTCATAGAGTCCGTCGAGCTTCCTTCTTGTCAGAGAAAAAAAATGTTTTTTTGGGCATTTCAAGTAGATTGTAAATGCTGATCTGTTCTTGAGTTCTCTATTAATGTGAAGTATTTATATCAGGTACACTAACGTGTATCGGGTGTGTTGAAGCAGTCCTGGATCGAGGACGCACCGTACCGACAAAGTTGTGTGCTTTTTTGATTATTTCTTGGAAAATGGACGTTCGTGATAATAATCGTCCTAAAATTTCCCTCTCGAGTATCAAGAACATTACCTCGTGTCAGGCGCAGAGTAATTGATCCCTTTGATATAACTAGGCGAGGATGATTGTGGATGCGGGGAAGAAATCAAAAAAATGGACAAAGCTTACGAGCTAAAATTTAATTACTAGCGACCCGTAGGGTAGCAGGTGGGTGGAGGACTATATGTCGCCGAATTTGGAAGAGTCCCGCGCGGATTCCCTGCAGGAACGCATGTCCGCACATGTACAAGAGTGCGTATTTGTCGCAAATGACCGCGAAGACCGCCCTTTTTCGGCGACATATAGTCCTCTACCCGTAGCAAGTGAGTCGGGGCAGATACATATAAGGGCTTAGGTTTGACTAAAAATATTTCTAAATAAGTTTCCAATTCCTTTCCTGAGAACATTTTTGCGAAGAGCATTCTACAAAAGGAGAA